TATCAACCAAAAGGATGGAGGTCGGGGGCGGAGAAATTATAGTGGTAAACGATAATTAGCTGTCAGTGAAGACGGCGGTCGTTCGGGGTCATAAACAGTAATTAGTGTAATGCCTTGTCTCAGGGTAGAGGGTCCCGGTGATCCTGCCTCCTCTTCTGGCCGGTTCGTAGTGGTGTCCTTTTCGTTTGCAATTCTGACGTTAGGCTTGGCCTTGTTCCATCCTTTGCTTACATAATGACGTTAAACTTTGTAGGCCGCGAGGAGGTCTAGATGCCTGTTGGCGGGGTTGGCATCCGAGTACCATGCCTCAAGCGTCAGCCTTTCAGCTTTTGAGTTTCATCGGCCTATGATGGTTGCTCCTTGAATGTCGAAGTCGTGGCCACTTTCTCCAATGTGTGCTGCAGGCTGTGAGTTTGGGTCTAGTTTCTGAGCCACCAGTTTGAGTTTGTGTAGGAACGAGGTGATTTCAGCTGAGAAGAAGCTAGAAATTACTTAACTCAAAAAAGAACTGCAAGCAGATGAACTTATTTACTACTTAATTACCATACAATGCATTGTGAGTTTTTTATTAGCATTGCAAAATAGGTATGCTTCGGTTCCTGTCTGCTGTGGGGTTCTGTTAACCTCACCAAGTACGATAAGTTAACTGATTTAAAAGTAGCTTCCACTGAAGTGCATTGATATCACTACGTTTCCTTGTACCCCACAGGAAAGCAGGTTCACATTTTCTGCCCTGTCTGATCTGGGAGAACTGCTGCGCTGTACTCTTTGGCATGACAATGCTGGCGACGCCACAGACTGGCACTGCGAATGGGTGCGAGTCAGTGAACTCCTGCCTCCGATTAATGGTCTCCTCCCTCGAGAATGGTTTTTTGCCTGTAACCAGTGGATATCTGCCAAACAAGGCAATAAGGAATGCTGTGTTGAGTTGAAAAGTTCCACTGGCACTGTCGTAGACTCGCCTAACGCACGAACTGCAGGCGAAGAGGTTGTGAGGGAAATGAAGGTCGTCACTGCGCCTAAAGAGGAAGCTGGGGTGGAAGGTGGCAAGTCACTTGATACTGGTAAGGTGCCCACTCACCACCTAATTACTACTTTTTTGTTCAACATTCTGCCCTACTATTTAACCTCTAAGTTAAATGTTGAAACTGTGTTCAGAATGTTCTCTTTACTTGGACTATGTAGGTGGCGAATGAGGATGGAAAACATGGCTTGTTCTGAGATTTATAATTTTATTCGGATTCTGGTTAGGAAAGAAGTGCAAGCATTGAATATTTATTATTTTCATTCGGTGTTATGCGAACTTTGTGCCCCTTGGATTTGCGCGGAAAATAAGACATCACCGGTTTATTAAAATCTCTAGGAATATTCGTTTCCTACTGCCTGTAAAACCATCGGGGGCGACGAAGTCTACCGTTTGCCCCCCACTGCATTAACTCTGAATTGCGCGTGCACAAACGTCGAGTGATCGCAATCTTGCGCAGTGTCTACAGAATATTTTCGCTTCCCGCGCGTTTCTAGATTTTTTTACGTAAAAGGTGATGGATATTTCATTGAGGTATGCAAGAAAGAACTAAATACTGCCAATTCAGACGTTCCACAATCACTACACGGACCAATTTCTTCTTGCAAAGCCCTGGATTAAAGTCAGTGTTCTTAGTTTTTGACGAAGAACGGAATTGGTACATTTGAAATGAGCTCATGTCATGTTGTTATATAGTAATGTTTTACATAGAATTCGTCACTTCCGGACAAATAGCCAACACACAAGGGGTTTCTATGTACGTCACTGTGGTGGTAAACGTCCTAGATTGATGGGCTCAATTGATATTGGTCATTATCTAATACTATTTAACGATGATCTTTTGAGTTATGGATATGCAGAAAAATTCATGGCTCTACCGTGTCCCGTAGATCTAAATTAGAAGGTCACTTAGGCAGCTTTTCGTAGGATGGCTTCTTTCCATTTCAATCATCAACAAAGTGAGTCTAATATATAAGTTCTGAGTAAATCAGTGATAGTAATTAATTACAACATTTAATACCCTCTTCCATAGCGTTAGAACGGTCTTTTGAGGTAATTATTGGAAGGCGTTTATTTAAAACCATGTTATTTTCTAATTCAGCTAGCAATTTTCACTGAAAATTAACTATGAATTATTTTAGTCTACCGGATACAAGTGGAGACTACCAACATCGAAGGTGGAGATTGTGCTCACACAGGGTGGATCGTGTTAAAGGGCGAGTATGGTCAGTCAGCCCCCTTTTACCTTGTTCATCCCAAGGGGAAAAGGACCTTCGAGAAAGGTGGAGTTGACGACTTCGTGTAAGCTATATTCTTAGGTTGTAAAACAGCGCACTTCGCTATATCATGCAGTTAATTTAAAAAAGGTGGAGTACAATTAGATTAAACAAGGCGTCCAATTATTTCGTACTATGCTGTTATTTCATAATATTTGTATAGATTATATTTATGTTCTTAATTTGCTTGCACAACTGATTTTTTTAAACATATTGGCCGCAGCACTCTCCCAATAAGAGATTTTGAAATGTAACGCCCTCGCTAAATTGAACTTCCCCAAAATATATATTTGGGTGTTTGAAAATAACGCTGTCTTTGATCGTAGATTACTTCCTGAATTTGTAGTTGACTATCACTGGTTGATTTAATCTCATTCGGCAACAAGTCACAAGTTTGTAAATCCTCTTTCAAAGTCAACAAAAAGCCCAAAACTTCCGTGTGGGTTTGAATAGAAAAATGAAAGAGCTTATTTATATCTAGTTTGTTAATTGCATCCAACTTGTTATAAAGAGAAAATTTCTAGCGTATGGCCTGGAACAACTTAAAACTTTATTGGAAATCAACATAATTGTCTATTTATTTACCCACTCATGCTATCTACACTTACTTGGGGGAGCAGTTTTTTTAATAAATTATTTACCTTTTGTCTCTGGACAATAAACGTTGCGGATTACAATTAACATGCAATATTATAGCCCTTTTGACTTCTGACTCAACATCTGCTTATTGGTTTCCTTCTCAAGCATGTTCTCACCATCATTGGGTCTTCTAAAGAAAATATACGTAGGTATCACCAACTATGGCATCGCACTTCCCTTCGACATCCGCACGGACGCAAGCCTAGAACAACAGGAGGACTTGCAATGGCACTGTAAACGAATCCTCGTAACCGACGAGAAGAATAGCAACGTATACGTTTTCAATATCAACCAATGGGTACCAGTCTATCCCGATATTGGAAAGCACTCGGCCATTGGAGCTAAGCCAGCTGAACTGTATAAAGAACCGACAGACAACAGAGGAAGAAAAATGAACAGTAAGTGGTTATGAGCAGCCCTGAATGTTCAGTGTGACCTTGGAAATTACTTGTTTAATAACTATACAACAAAATGTTTTTGACGTAATTAGAAGGCGGAGGCCGAGGAAAAAAATGAGAATAAATCGGTCAGTTTCGGAAAGCTGCTGAAACAGAGTCCAATCTGGACAAAGCAAAAAAAAGTAAACTGGCTAAAGTTACGTGATATAAGCTCCTTGTGTGTACGAATCATATGTCTGTACTTGCGATTACAAAGATTACAATACAGCGCCGATGTAGGATGGTTTTGTGGAGATGCTTACTGTGGGTTGTGGTTGCGTTTAGTCTATGACACATGTTTACCCAGCATCATAACACGTGTTTCATCTGCTAGCCATAAAACCTTCCCAAGCAGCAAAAGCTTGTCATTTTGTTTCAAAGGTAAGTTGCATTTTAAATATAACTCAGTTACAGAAAATTCCTTATAGTGCGAAAAGAGAAATTTGTTTTCTGCCAAAGTGAGCTTCCGCAGGGAAAACTGAATTCCATTGGCATATAAGAAATTATATGCGCATATTTTAACCTTCTTTTAGATGGATTCAACAACATATGGACTACTAAAGGCGTTGGTTTCGCCACTGACTCAGACAACTCACTTGCTTAATTCACAATCCTTTATTTCAAAATTAATTAAAATTTTTAGTAAAGACGCTAACATGTTTTGCGTTCTTTTGTTAATTTCATCACAAAACTCATTTCAATGAGATATGGATAAAACAACAAATCCGAAAAATAAAACAAATGTTGCCTCTGTGTTTGAGCTTGGCGTGTTTCTTGGTGGTATTCCTACATTTTTGAGATGTCCAAACTGAAAGTATAAAATAAGACATTATCCTAGCTGTACTCGAATCACTATAGATAACTATCCTTGCCGCTCCTGCACCTTACGTGACCTTTTGGGAAACCAAACTATAAGACGGCAAACGCAGGGAATTATCGCCCATCAAAAAAATCTTCCAGACATCGTATGGAGCTTACAGCAGGGTAATTCACAACTCCTTGCTCCTTTGCAGTTAGCAAACAAGACCGAAGGGTAGGAAAATGCCAGTCCGATCTGCCAGTATTCACAAAGCTGATGTTTACCAATTAAGTCTCTTTTTTATTGCTTCTATGTTGAAAGGAGTCTAGTTTTGCCATTTTGTGTGCAGAATGCGTAGTGGTAGATTAAGTACTGCTAAAAAGTTTTACCAAGGTGTTGATTGCAAAAAGCTTACTTTATGCTTCCTAAGTAGTTAAGAGATGTCGCAAACGACAAAAGACTGCATGAAGAATGGGAGAATGGAAAACAATTCATACACTTACTTCTCTTTATCAAATATTTATGTTATACAGCGTTGTTTATGCTGAAACTGTAGCTCTACATGGCTGAGGTAACCTTTGTAGACGACTCACTTCAACCCAATCTGCTTGAAGTATTCTATGCGTAGCTCACTTAGAGTTATACTTAAATGCACATTACCATTTTAAGTTGTAACTTCGGACTGCACGCGAAAGTGTGGAAATTCATGTTAAACTTGCTGTTGATCTACACTACCTCAACAAATCAATTGGCATAAGCTGCTTTTGTCTTAATTTGTGACTACTTCTAAGTTTGTACAATGACCAGTAAAAAGGTTTTTAATTCTCTTTTCACACGGAGGCGTGCTGATTTGGATTTACAAGTAGTTGGCGGTTGGAGTGGTCTCTAAAGTACCTTTTACCGCTTTTCTTCAGCGGTCGCCTTTCTGCATTATTTGAATAGGTCCGCAGTAAAAAAAACGCGACTTAATTTACGGCAAACTTGGCGGCTCCTTCAGTTAACCACTAATAGCACAATTGGGATTACTTTGAGGCGACTGCATTTAAGGTTGCCTCCTTCGCCTTGTCAGATATTAATGCAACGCTCAAAGACTTTTTAATTGCGCGCACTTAAACCAAGCGGGCATTAGCACAAAAATATGATTGCAATATTCATAAGCAAGGCTGAGAACCTTAGAACCCTTCTGCTTCAAGGGATTCCGCCTGGCAGTTAAAATAAAAACCCAATTTTATTTTTAGCCTTTTAACACAGAAGAATTGATGAATTACAGTAAATTACCGACTGTACACACTTCAACGTATGGACAGCCATGTTCTAGAGCCAATAGTTAATTTATGATAATAACCCAAGCTCGACGTACTACTTTCGCACGCGTATTTTGCAGACCAATGTTATTCGTTGCTGCTGATTGCTTCGGTGGCCAGTTTTTGAAGAAATACAAGAATGGATGTTTGAAATTTAAGAAAATGTATGTAAATTTTACCTCTTATTCATATTTTTAAGAACAACTACTTATTAAGGATTACGAAGTTGCATGTATGCAATTGCTTAAGAAGGAGCTCGCAGTTAATTAAACCCGTATTATATCAAGATACCTACGGATTTTCAAAAGAAGGGCACCAGTTTTTTTGTGCTAGTTAATTCACCAAAGATGTTTTAAGACTACTGATTTGTAGTCTCTTTTACTAGTCTAACGCTGACCCTAGCACTTTAAACCATTTCAGATATTTCCGCATAATGCATTAAAACTAACATTCCTTATTCTCATTATGCCTGTTTGCATTGTGCTAAATCAGCTTGCTACAACTTAATGCTTCGTTTATTTCATCTGTTTGGCTGAAGAACAACTTTCATTCATTCGAAAAATGCTTGGTAAAACCTTATGATAATGATCACTAAGATGAATGTCAGTATTATGAATGTTTGTTTGATTATTATAAACTTAGAAGGTATGTAGCCTGTAGTGTGAAACGAACGCACAAATCCAAGTTTTTTGTCTAATGTAAATTTTCATGTTCAAACACTTCGATGCGTGAATTCTTGGTTTTGAAGTCGGTGCTTTCCATAAATTGAAATAGACTGACATGCGTTTCTACGTTTGTCAAATCAAATGTATACTAATTACCTAACTTATTGTTTGTATGCTATATATTACGTGGTTATTTTGCGGTAACTGATGGCCTCACACTCAACCGTCCATTGAAATTTCGTGTGGGACCTTAGCAAAGAATGTCCTGGATACTAACCTCCATGCCTTGCATTTAATTATTCAGAAATTTATTCATCTGACTATTATCTGACGTTCGTATATCAGTAACCACATGCAGAATGCTGAGGACCAACTGAGGAGCCAAACTCCCTTGTATCCATATCAGCAAAAACATTGCGAAAAAGGCCGCTGGACTGTAAACTAGTACCTGCTTCGGAATACCATTAACTTACTCCGTATTAAATATTTACTATCTGCAATAGTGTTTGTTTATAAATGACTTTTAGGTGTTTACTTCATTTCAGCTTATTAAGTGTGACGGAGGTGATCATTGCAATCTCAAGCCTGACCCCCATAAGGCATACACCAGACATTATCCTCCATGACCTACATTAAAATGTTCGAAATTGTTAGCTTATATATGTATATATCTACTTACGGCTACGTTCACGCCAATCTACTGACCCACCAAATCAATCAAGCTTCATATGGGTGCTCATATCTGAGTAAATGTATGCTCGATCAACGGAGACAGAGGTTGGCAGACGGCGAGGTCCTGATTAACTTCGAGTCCACAAACTGTTAATGACTCATTCGGCAGACCTAATGGTGGACAGTTTTTACTATGTGTTTGCGCATGTTTGTATTTCCCGTCGCAGCTGGTAGTCACAGTTGGATAAACTGAATGTAAACGAAAAAAGCCCAAACAAGTGTGTATAACTTTAACCCATATCTTGTAATCTGTCCCTCTGATATCATAACTTTTCCGAGATCGGTCTGGGTGGTTACTTATCTTATGACGTCTGGTGCACGTATGGACGATTTTTGTCTTTAAGAGGCAAGGAATCAGTGTGGCGTAATTTTGCGAGTATAATACTCAAAAAGTTTAGAGTTTGGTCGCCAAAAATTTTGTACTTATGAAATTAGTTTAGAACGTGAAAGTTATATTGACCCTGCTCCGTGTTACTCTATATATATTAATATTCCTAATGAAGTATACAAAAAGTCCACATCTATCTTTAAATTACATGCGTTCTATAGGGGATCGTCCTAACTCCATGGAAGAAGCTCTGGGTTTCCTTGGATGGAATGAAGATACAGCTCGTGGACTGCAAACGATAAAACAAAATGCTTAGAAATAAGTTAGAAATAAAAAAATTCGTTTCAAACCGAAGAAAATATCATTGTCTGATTTATAATTTAAGGGTACTGTCGTTTTTTATAAAGTGAGAGCAAAAGAGTATAATATATTCATGTTTTCTAAAGTACATCTTTCAATTTATGAATACATCGTAAAGCAGTTGAGAAGATAGAGTGTACTTAAATAGGTAGGTTTAATGAATGAGGAGTTTATAGGCGACTAATAACAAAGAACATCCGAATGTGGGTATGAAGTCGTGCCTGAAATATATTATTTAGTAATAAAACACCGTTTAAATAAAGTCTCCTAATTGAAATATGAATATCGGAATTTTGTTTAACAATTACGGAGGTTGGAACTGACTGTAGACATAATGAGAGTAAAGAATACTTTTAGGAATTTTATTTGCATTTTCCTGAGGTTGCAGAATCCGAAGGCGTTAAATCATCATAGTTTTATTCCCTTTCCACGGCCCATATTTGTTGTGTGCAGGACAATTTCATTCGGTTGATGTCATTTAAATGTGTTTAAGTCTGTTGTCGGCGTGGCAAAAGAAGCCGTTGGAATGAGTGCATCAATCGTAGTAGGTTCCGTTTGGGGGAGGAAATTTTTTTAAATTCCGTGTTAATTGTGCGCATAGAAACAGGAATACTTTTTCTGGCCATCATCATGGGGATATAAAGGGGATGGCAGAGTGTCGTCAGTTTACCAAAATCTTGAATACTGGCTGCCATGGTCTACTAAGCCTGTTTCTATCCACTTGGTTGCCTTTCTCATTATCTGCTGAGGTTAGTGGTCGCTGCGACAGTTTCACTATCTGCGTTTTCATTGATTAAAGGGTTATTGCGCGATTTCAGGCATGTTCAGCGAAAGTTCTCAGAAGTTAAATTTACGTTTATTTTAGGTCTATATCTGTTCTTAAGTATACTGAGCTGTGTCCGGAGGGTCTAGCAAGAGCCATATAAGGTTGCTGGAGGTTGGCTTGCCTGTCAAACCTACATGGTGTACTTTTCAGTTTCTCAATCCAAGATTTTGACATTCCGACAGCCAAGATTTCTTTAAATGTTGTACACAAAGAACGGGTAGCTTTCGGTTATAAAAAAGTTGCTCAATAACCGAATAATTTTTTAACCTAGTGACTGCTTCACTCGAATTCAAGTTTATAACACTGCGCACTGTGCACATCCCGTTTAAGGAAAAGTACGTTTTCGCATACTGTTTAAGAAAGAAGTCACATAGTTGTCATAAAATACTGAAATAGATGTGGAACATATTT